ATGGGCAGCCATGAAGAGCCATGGGTTGGGGGGCTTCTACTTCTACCCCTTCCCCAAATAACAGCCCCACAGCTCAGCCCCCCCCTTCTCCCCTTTCCTTACTCCCCCCCCAAGCTGTGCTAAGGACATGGGGATGCCGTTGCCCCCCCCGTGTCACCCTGTCCCTGTGCCAGGCGCAGGAGCTGCTCCAGCCCACGCTGTCCCACCATGAAGCTGCTGATGCCCTGAGCTCCCCCAGCCCCCCCATTTCCCTCCGGGGACCCCAGGAGCTGAAGGAGTTGGGGGGAAGCGGGTGCCCCACGGGGGGGATGGCACCCACACGTGTCCCCGGAGCCATCCCCACCCCGACACCTTCCCCGGGGCGGGGGAAAGCCACGGGGAAACCAACGCGCAGCTGCAGGTGGGGAAACTGAGGCAGGGCCAGGCTGGGCCCTGGGGATGGAACCGGGGTGTCAACGGGTTCGTGGCCACCAAACCCTCCGCCCCGGCCCACGGCCACCCCGCCGTGACGCAGGAGGCCCGGTGAGGCCGGCACCTGAGGGAGGGGGCTGGTGGCCACGGCCGGCCCGGCTGGTGGAACCGGCCCAGCTCCTCGGGGCCGCGGCGGTGGGACGGGACTGGGTTCACCAGGTCGGGTGAGCACAGTGTCCCGGGGTCTGGAAACACCAGCACAGGGGTGCTCAGGGGTCCCCAGCTCCATTCCCCCCCCACCAGGTGTGTGCACACGTGGAAACGTGAGCACACGTGCGTGTACCTGTGCATAGCTGTGTGTCACACGTGGGCACCCAACACACCTGGTTGTGTGTGCAGGGCCGGGGCTGCGCACACAGGGATGCGCAGAGCTCAACGTGTGCGTGGCCACGCGTGTGCACAGGTACAGGGGTGTGCATGGCCACAGGTGTGCACAGCCACGTGTGCACACACGTGTGTGTGGAGCTGAACACAGGGGTCCCCAGCTCCATTCCCCCCCCACCAGGTGTGTGCACACGTGGAAACGTGAGCACACGTGCGTGTACCTGTGCATAGCTGTGTGTCACACGTGGGCACCCAACACACCTGGTTGTGTGTGCAGGGCCGGGGCTGCGCACACAGGGATGCGCAGAGCTCAACGTGTGCGTGGCCACGCGTGTGCACAGGTACAGGGGTGTGCATGGCCACAGGTGTGCACAGCCACGTGTGCACACACGTGTGTGTGGAGCTGAACACGTGCACAGCCCCACACCCAGGTGTGTGACTCCAAGGTACGTGACAGAGGAGAGGGGTCCCGTCCCCCCCCCATCCCGACACTGACGGCAGAGGCAGGCGCGGTTGCATCCAGACTGCCCAAATTTATTTCAAAAATAAAAAATAAAATATTAAAGACCGAAAGCCTCGCTCTCCCCCCCGCCCCCCCCTCCCTTCCCCGAAACACACAAAAAAGACTTTTACAGACAAAAAACACATCACATGGGTTCTCTATTTGCACAGATCTCCTGACGAAGAAAAAAAAAATAAAAATAAAAATCAAAGTCGGACAAGAAAAAGGATTTCTACGGCCTATGCAAGACTATGTCAGTATTGGCTCAGTCGGGTAATTAATGTCTATAAGTATTAGCCCC